ATGAAGGAATACGAAAGAGAAAATATGATGAAAAATATCTATTGTGTATTCCTGATCATTCTTTGTACAAAAATTTCTAATAAAAGCGAAGAAACCCAATCATATGCTTACACCTGTCCTATTTCTATTAGCTACCTTGTAACTAACATTACAAAATGTGGAGAAGATAACTACTACATTACTGCTGAACTTATTCTAATTCCCAATGTGTGTAAGTGCATACTAGAAACTGCATACCACCACCTATTTATAGTGGGGGGGGGGAAATGAAGAGTTAGTGATTTAATTCATCATAAAACAAAGGGGCAGTGATGATGAATAAGGATATAAATGTCTTTTCCTTCTTTGTGAAAAGTTGATAGTTTCAAGCGATTTCTAACACATCTCATTTGTGCTCCTCTTCTGCATGTGGGTTTAATTTCTTGATACCCACGTCTCTTGTCCTTTTGACAACTCTTTAATGTCAATCTTTACATGACAGATTTAATATCATGAGATTAAGGGCATTTTGTGTATTTGAAATATCATTAATTTTAGATCATAAAATTCAAAAATCTTTTTACTTTCTTAAATTTTATATCAAGTTAAAACACAACAAACAAATTTAAACAGAGATAGTAATAATCTAGCTCATTTAATCATACTCTTTTTGTTCATTATGTTTAAGGAGTAAAATATTTTTCTGCTTTTTGGTTAAAATATTTTTCATGATTTATGTTTTTTTGACCTTTTGTGCATTTTTAAAATTTTTGAGTAACAATACTCTTTCAAATTTATCAAAAGTAATACATTAAGTTTTTAAATGTCACTTAATTCTTAATTTAAATTTCGTCCTAACCGAATAACGTAATACAAAATAAAGAGGAAGTATGAGATAAATCAGAATATTTTTTTTATACTGTCACCTCAAGATTTAAGCATTGTGCTTCCTCAATTCCTGCTTTTCTACTCTCTTTTTCTGTGCAGTTTTTACTTTTTCCTACAAGTTATTATTAGAAACGGAAAAGGGTCTAAAATACCTCTCAACTATGTGAATTGGTATAAAATTATCTTTTTTTTACCTTTCGAGCGTAAAATGTCCTTGACGTCAATCTTTTGGCTCTATTTTTCCCTCATTTTTAACAGCCTAAATAATAACCTCAATTAACAAATTCATTTATGATGTCACTATCCTATTAGCTACCCTAATAATTAATTAAACTAATTAAAAAAAAATACCCACCCAAAAGCCCCACCCGTAACCCAGATCTATTAACCCAAATATTCTAACACAAACCTTTTAACCTAAATTAGCAAATGGAGGAATTCGAGCAGCAGAAATTATAGTTTCACTCCAATCACTACGACTGGATTACGACGTTTTCCTGAGTTTCAGAGTCAGTACTCGTGAAAAAATCAGGAAAAACTTATACGATGCCTTATACTCAAAAGGCATCTGAGTTTTTCGAGACTCTGAGGGATTAACTCAGGGCGATGAGATCTGAACAGGTCTTGTAGAAGCAACCAATGACTTTGCTGCTGTAATTGCTACTATATCATCTGATTATGATTCTTCGATAAATGAAGGTTGGGTTAGAAAATTTGGGTTAAATGATCTGGGTTACAGCTGGAGCTTTTGGGTGGGTATTTGTTTTTTTTTAATTAGTTTAATTAATTATTAGGGTAGTCAATATGATAGGGACACGTCATAAATGAATTTGCTAATTGAGGTTATTATTTAGGCGGTTAAATGAGGGCAAATTAGAGCCAAAAGGTTGACGCCAAGGGCATTTTAGGCTCGAAAGGTAGAATAAGGGTAATTTTGTATCAATTCGCATAATTGAGAGGTATTTTAGGCCCTTTTCCATTTTAGAAAAAATAATACATCTAAGTAAACATAGCTAGTATATCTACTCAATTCAGTTATAGTTTTAACAATTTACACCACTCAACAACATTTTCAACCTCTTCTCTCACTCGTCTCTCTCCTCCCTCTTCTTTCTTTCTCGTTCTTTCTCACGGTCTCTCAACCCACCACACTTTCAACCCAAATCACACCTTCAATTTTCTCTCTCTTCCTCTCTTGCACCCTCTCTGAACCAATTGATCAAACTTAGGGTTGGGGGATTGAGAAAAAAATATTATTATGAATATATAAACAAGATGAAACTTATTGAATCCATCACATTTATATGATAATTTGTGGCTAGATGATAACAACTTCTGCAAGCATTGGGAGATGATGAATGTATCAGTGCATAATTGATATTGGATCCGTGTATCTGGGTTGTATTTTGGCTTATTTGATGATAGTGTCAATGCATATTTGAAACCAAATACACATATCTGGATAATTGTATCTTCTTTTAAGGGCCCGTTTGGCCATGCGATATGTTATCATGAAATGGAATCATGAGATGAAAATGAAGTTTTGTTTGGACATGCGATATGAAATTTTTGTGTTGTATATTTTTTCATAAACATAAAAATCTCATAAGTTGTAAAACTATTAAAATAGCCCCAATTGTTTATTCAATCTTATCAAATAAACAAAAATTTATAAAATTGCATAATAAATTATTACAAAACTATTTGTTCTCCACTTAAGTAATTGTTTCATCCAACTTTAATTTAATATAAAAAAATTGAACATAAATTGTAGTGTACTAGTCTTTAATATAATCATCCCACATAGTACGGACAATTTCCTCACGTTGAACTTGTATTTCTCAATCATGTGACCGAGAAGACGAAACAACATTGTTACTTTGAGCCATTTGTTGGTCAATATCATCCGCAACTATATTTTCATGCTCATAGACCATAAATATTTCATCACTTTAACAATCGGTTGGTGTGAGTTAAAGTGACTATATGTTGGTGAGAATAATAAATTTTATGTCGATGAGAATAATAAATTTTAAAAAGTAAGGATGTGATTATAAATTTTATTTACATATGAAATAAATAGTTAATAGATATAAATGTGGGTTGTTTTAACAAAATATAAACTTGTGGATCAATTTTTATATTAAAATATCTCAAATCATGATATGAAAGAGTAAAGACATAAAGACACAACCAAAGTTGTCATGTATTTGCATAAAGACACCTTAACTTTCAAAGTGTCTTATCACCCCCACAAAACTATTTAATATCGTTGTAAATGGGCCATTTTGACCCATTTCCTCGTCTGGATTGTTACCACGCACATGAGGCGCGTCATTCCGTGTTTTCACTGCCATGGACCAATTTTAAAGTGCCACATGTCATTTTCTTTCTTTATTATTAATTATTTTATCAATTTATGTCATCTTCCCCAATTCTAAACCCAAAATAGCCGTTGATAGCCCTAATTTTTCGATTTCATGGTTATTTTCCATAGCAAGATCAACGTTGGTTCTCTCTTTTTGACAACTTCATCATCTTCCCCAAGAAAATAAGGTAGGAATTCGTTTTATCTTTTAATTTCCAGTATAAAACGTTAATTTGAAGTTTTTTATGGTTTAATTTCTTCTGAATTTTTGTTCACCAACAACAAAACATGATCGGGAAATAAAACCCGACCCTCAATTTGTAAATGCAATAAGGAACCACTACCAAAATCTTGAAATGATTGTGAAGTAGACAATAAATCAGAAGAAGACGACAATAAAGACAATCTTGAAATAACTAAAACAGGTTGAAAACCAGAGGAACTAAAAGGAATTTGATAAGAAAGAAGGAAAAGAAAAATCAAAAAACTAAAACATAAAACAAAGACCTTATAGAGAAGAAATAAAATTTAGAAGAAGAAAAGGAAAAGGAAAGTTGAGAAATAAGACAAGAAAAGGAAAAACGACTTTCTTCAAAGAACAGGGTCGGGTCGGGTTGAATTCTATCATAGGGAGTGAGCAACACGCGCGACTACATAGACGAGGGAATGGGTCAAAATGGCTCATTTACAAAGATATTAAATAGTTCTTGGGTAATATGACACTTTGAAAGTTAAGGTGTCTTTAAGCAAATACGGGACAACTTTGATGGTGTATTTATGTCTTTTCTCGATATGGAATTACCATATAATTCTATATCATGGTTTTTGGAGAATATGGAATCACATCTCATGATATGAAATCATGAGATGGAATCAGCGTAAAATCGCATGTCCAAACGCTGATTCCATCTCACGATACCATATCGTATCGCATGGCCAAACGCCTACTAATCTATGCACAAATAGAATGGATACATCAGTCCATATCTATGCACATATACACTGGATACATCCGTGCATGTTGATACTGAATACACCAGAAATTGGTAGTGAATACAGATACATTGGGAAAAACTATAAATATGAAAAGTATCGTTTGATCCAATAACTAGGCCCCATCATACCATGATTTTTAAAACTTCTTGTTTTTTAATCAGGTCATTGTTAATGTGTATATAACATGCAATAAAAGGATACGAGTCAAAAAGTTCATCATTAAAAAAAGGGCAACAAAATCAGGCCTTCAAATAGCTGTAACAAGCATCAGGAACATTACTTAAGAAATGACATAAGAGAAAAGAAATCTGGGTATTGCACGTTCCACTTTGATACAAAAGTATAAATTATTATTAGCCAGACAATAAAAGGAACAACCTTTAACAAATGTAATGTAACCGAATACCCAAAGGTATGACCTAGTGGTCGATGAAGTGCTGAGCACCATGATGTCTATATCTAATAATTAGGCAAACCACCTAAAACTTAGATGCTGATCTTTAAAAAAAAACATACCGCATTTCCCAGAATAGAAGATAATAATACACCAATGAGGTAATTGACATAATCATATTTACATTAACTCTTCATTTTCAATAATATACATGCACATCCTTACGCAAAACATAGTCAATGCTAACCTAATACATACACAAATATTATGCTGTGAAATCTGAATAACTCTAGACACAGTGACATTGACCGTCACTTTCTTCATGCCGATCTCATAAAAGCAGTGTCTTCTGTGCTAGGCAATCCCAACAACCATCGGGGTATATTCAACATGATATTATACATCAAGACTGAATGCATTGACTAACCAACTTGTTAACATGGCCTCCTAATTCAATAGGATTCAACTCAATCTAGGCCTCTGACATCATCCACCTCTTTCGATAAAAGGTTTGTTGGCATTTATTTATCTTTTGCAGGTAAGAAATAACGAGTAATACCCAAATCCCTTTTCACTGTATTAGGTCGCTTCTGAGGCCTGAGCCATGCTTGTACCTCTTCTTGAATTTGTTTTGGTAACTCATTCAAGATATCCTGGTCAATCTCATCAATGTCGTAACTCCAGGCAGGCCTTTTCAGTTTAATCTGGCTACAAAGATGAGCATCAACACTAGATTCACCTCTTGCGGGTGAATTTTCTTGAGGAAGTTCACTTTGACAGGCTGCGCAATATAAATACAACTAAGAAACCTAATACTTCATGCTTTAAATTTATATGACATCATTTTCCATTTTAGGACATCCCAAAATGTTTGACAACATTTCACAAATAATTTTATCTTATATTTGCTCCATTTCATCATATATGGATGGTATTTGATTGGGCAAGAATTTTAATATATTAGGTCAAATAATTCAGTATAGTAATGATGGTAAAAAAATAATACCAAAGTAACGATTGAAAAGTTAGTTTGATAGAGAAACTGTTAAGATGTCCCACATCGGTAGAGGAATGGGAATTTGATCTCCTTATATGGACTTGGACAAACGTTCCCTCATGAGCTAGCTTTTGAGGTTGAGTTAGGCTCAGGTGTCATATCTTAACAGAAACATCACACGGAAGTTCAAAAGTTTAATAATTTAAATATTTGAGTTCTGGAAAAAATGTGGGTTGTACAAATATGGAACAATGTGTGTTTTTGTACATCCAAAAATGACAAGTGTCAACAACTTTTAAAGCTTCAAAATCATTTGGCTATTCAAATTTAGAACTTGATGTGATATGCTCATTATGATCTAATTGTTCAACAATTACTTAAATATATTTTTCCACTAAGTCAATTTAACATCTTAAACACTATGTTCAGTTGAACACGATCATGTAAAACGACAGGGGAGAGTACAAATGGAAAGCGGATGGAAAAAGAGCACACTGACTGGTGAAAATGTTACCTGACAAGGAGGAGGATTCGCTTAGCTTACTAGTACCGGCATGTTCTGCCTTTAAGAGAGAGCCAGAGAGTTGACTTTGAAAATATCGCGAGATTGTTGACATTCCCTGATATAACAACAGCAAAAAGAAGCTTAAAACAGTTCTCTGAAGCAATCAAAACAAAGATTACTTTCACTATTTGAATACTGGGCGCATTTACTCCTAGAGAATTTTAAGGCATCAACTCCAAACATGGTGCATCACAATTTGAAAGGGTATCGATGAAACTGATATCACTAATTCAGTGGCTGAGATCATTGATGACTGCTTTAAATGTGTGCATATCTTATTTACTTCCTTTTATGTGTGAAGCATTTGCATAGCAATACATAGAAGGAGAGGAGAGAGACTCTTTGATAAAGTAGATGTCCTTGATAAATGCTCTGATGCTTGTCTTTTCTAACTTGACCTAATGTTTAGATCACAGATATATGATCTCTAATCAACCAACAGAGATCTATTAGCCTCATGAAAATAAATCTTTTGGATGTTCTTTAGGCGGTTGCATGTTGAGGTTTCTCCTTAATACATATATTATTGAAGATTAAAATAACTACACAAAGTAAAAATACTTAAACAAGGAAAGAGAAGAATGGAAACCTAAATCTGACTACTCAAACGATCTGTCATCTTAAAATCAAGTAATAGCAAAATGCAGTTCATAAGTAAAAGAGTAACAACATTAGAAAGGACAATGGGGAATTAAAAAAAAAATCATGCATTTAAAGAAAGCTAAATGGGTAAGGAGAAACTGAAGAATACAGCCAACACATAGCTACAATCCATGAGACAAGTACTTCTTATAGCAATGAAATAATAGAATGGAGTTTGAAACCTTTTCTTTATTTGGCTTCCTCTTCCCTTCCTCTGACTCTAAACTATCTCTAATCTTTACAGTAAGGTAGTCCCCGCTTGATTCAGTCTGATCTTTCTCCCATCCCCGGTACACTTCAGCATCTAAAGTAGCATTGAAAAGTAAAATTAAAACAAATCAAGCTGGGAAGAAGCACAAGATTAAGGAAATATTGACCAAAGGTTTAGCTATTAGAACCAATAGGAAGAAGTACCTGGTGAAGAACATATTGAAGTCTCTTTATCTGGCAGCTGCTCAGATGGTAAAAAAAAAAAAAGACACAGAAACAGCCCTGATCAAGGTGGCTGCAGATTATAACTGTTTTACACCATAGAGGACCATCAAAATGGAAAATACAGAAAGCATGCATACTACTGAATGTTGAAAGACCAGGTCTATTAAATAATTTATAGCACAAAAGTAGGTCATAGTACTGAAATTGTTATAAATGACATCCCAGTTCAGTAAAGCGGCTTCCGAGATAACAATCAGTATATGGTTTGCTTCCTCTTTTCTTACCAGGGACACTATGCCTCACCTTTTGTCTTCCACCCTTAGAAGAAAAGGCTAGTGGAGTTTAAGATAACATGCTAAAGGGTTCTCACATCATGGACGAATGAGGGTAAAAAAGCTAGTCCAAGCGAGTCGGATTCAGGTAGGTAGCTGGAACACAAGACAGGGGAGTCGATGGAATGAGTGGATACTCTAAAAAGGGGGAAGTGGACATTGCATGCCTTCAGGAAATCAAACAGACAAGCAGGGTAAAAGGTTAGAGAAATAGGTAACACGGATTATAAATTATGGTATTGTGAGAAAGATAAAAATAGGAATTGAATGGGAATTACTATAGAACCAAGACTAAGAGATATGGTTGTGGAGTTAATACGAGTTGGGGATACCATTATTGCAATAAAGCTCGTATGGGGGGAGGAGACAATCAATGTTATCAGTGCCTATGATCTGAGTTTTGGGATAACTTGATTCAGGAATTCCAGGAGATCAACAAATATTATAGGGGAGATATAAATGGCCATGTCGGTAGAGATGGTGATGATTTTGAACAAGTACATGGTGGTTTTGGTTATGGTACTAAGAATGACAAAGGCAAGACTAAATAGACTTTGCCTTAGCTTATGATTTAGTGACAGCTAATGCATATTTTAAGAAAAGGGATTCTCACTTGATTACTTTTAGGAGTGGGGGTAACCATAGTCAAATAGACTTTATCCTTACAAGAAGACGAGAAGTACATGCAAGGACTGTAACAAAGTTATTCCAAGAGAAGCGATGACCTCCCAACATAGGTTAGTATTCTTAGATGTAAAACTTAGGAGTAGAATAAGAAAAGTGAATGTAGTCATGTACAAACATGAAACAACTGTTAATTAAGTGGTCAGCATTAATGTTACCAATTTCAAAAAGAAACCCTACTTTATAGAGGGTAGGGGGGGTTTTGAGTGCACCGAGGTGATGGGGCACGTGGGCACTTCAAAGTCGCAGGAAAATTTGAATTTTACAGATGGGCAAACGTACCAGAGGTCACGTGAAAGGGATGAGGGTCTTGATACACGTGTGATAGCACGTGCAGGCAATTTAAATGAGAAGAGGGAATTTTTGGGCTGGGGAAATTTGGGCCATGATCCAGTGGCCCAAATCGGTTTTAAAGAAGGGGAGGGGAAAAATGCAAAAGGCCCAGCAGACCCTTTTATAGATGAAATAATAGCAAATCAGTGGAAAGAAGCGCAGGCCTCTCTCAACATATCAGAGGAGAAAATATTTTTGACACTTCATCAGGAATAGGAATAAGTTTATACAATCCTATTAGAATAGGAATAGGTTTATACAATCCTATTAGAATAAGAATAAGTTTATACAATCCTATTAGAACAGGAATAGGAATAGAAATAGAAATAGGAATACTAAATAGTATCCTACTTGGTAAAGGATTGTATTCTAGGGTCTATAAATAGGGTCTCAATGTAATAATGTAGAAACAACAACAATTCAATAATATTCTTTTCCTATATTTCTCACATGGTATCAGAGCCTCTACGATCTTGGTAAACAATCAAAGAGCTTCCACTGTCGGCGGGCGGCAATTACTCATATATGCCGCCCGTCTGGCCAACAATTATGTTAGCAAAAGTTGGGTCACCATGTATCTTTCCGGTGACTATTTTCTCATATTTGATTTATTTAAGCACTGTGCCATCATTCCGGTGACTACTTTCTTATATCTAACTTGTAGCACCGTGCCATCTTTTCAGTGACTACTTTTTTATATCTAATTTGTGTAGCACCGTGCCATCATTCCGGTGACTACTTTTTCATATTTAATTTTTGTAGCACCGTGTCATCATTCCGGTGACTACTTTTTCATATTTAATTTGTGTAGCACTGTGCCATCATTCCAGTGACTACTTTTTCATATATAATTTGTGTAGCACCGTGACATCCTTCCGGTGACTACCTTTTTTTGCATATCTTATTTGCGTAGCACCGTTGATATACCGTGAGTTTACGGTATTTCTAATACATTTCACTTACAAGTTGTGTGTGTCTAGGGCCTTTTTATATTGGTTTTTATGTATTCTATCATGTTTTGCAGGAAAGGTGTACAGGCGCGGAAGTTTAGAGACAACTGAAGGAAATGCAGAAAAAGGCATCCACGGAGGTCATCTACGGACCGTAGGTCCATCCACGGTCCGTAGGTGATGACCGTAGACCAGCAGGAATGTGTTGAGGACAAATCAGGGAAATCTGACCAAGTGTGGAACCACGGTGCCCATTTACGGTCCGTAGATCCATCTACGGACCGTACTGTTGATCCGTAGGATGAGACTGTGAGGGTTCCAGTACCTGATTTTTGAAGATTCTAAGTATGGAGCTACGGAAGGGATTGACGGACCGTAGATCGATCTACGGTCCGTGCTGCTGGTCCGTCGTTTGCTTCAGAGAAGCTGATTTTTGGATGCCGAAATATTTTCTAAGTCCCGAGTGACGGAAGGGACTTACGGACCGTAGATCAATCGACGGTCCGTAAGTCAGTCTCGTGGATCGAAGACGCGTACCTGAACAAAACTTTCCTTAATTTGTTTCCTTTTTTATTTAGGATTTGTTTTCTATAAATAGGACATGTAAACCTCGTTTTTGGGGGTTAGACACTATTATTCTATTTTTACTTTGGAACTTTGGAGATTAATTTGGAACCCTAGCAATTATTGATTTTGGAAGTTCGTTTTGAAGATTTTGGCTTTGCAATTCAAGTTAATTCTCTGGGTTTATTATTCTTTTTACGTAAGTTCATGATTTCTTTATCTACAATTATGAATTGTGTTCTTGCTGATATGAGTAACTAAATTCACAACTAGGGTTGTGGGAACCATGATCAATTAACAAAGTATAAATAGTAAATAAGCAATTCTTGACTAGTATTTTGCATGCATTGATAATTCTTTCGTTTAGAAGTCTTTTTAACGGTGGCCAACGTTAGAACTCGCCTTGTTACTACTTGCCGGACCAAGGAGGTAATTAACAAGAAAAGAATTATCAACATAGATTTAGTGTGATACTATCTAATAGGCTAGTGTCGATTGGTGCGAAGTAATAACTAAGCCAAACATCGATTATGATGTCTAATATGAGGTAAAGGTAAGGGTTAGTAAATTATACACACGTAGCCGGACCAAGGTGCGGGGTGAAATTCTCTGGATGCCAGACCAAGGATTTAGAGATACCTAACTTATCACTTTGCATGTAATACACTAGAAGAGGATTGCTATTACTAGAATTACTGCGTTATGAGATTATGGGGAACACGTATACCCTAGTTATTTCTCTTATCTTGATAACAACCAAAGTTGAATTTAATTATTGATTACAATATTTCGTATTACTATTTGTTTTACACAAGCACAACCCCCCTTTTTATTATTTGTTTCTGGAAATAATTTGACTAATCGAATATAATTGTCGGTTAAAAGTAAAGTCTAAACCATTTTCCTCGTGGGATCGATCCCAACCTACAAGTTGGGTTCTTTACTTGATAACGATCGCTTATGCTTCTGAAAGGAGGTGTAATTTGAGCGTATCAAATTTTGGCGCCGCTGCCGGGGAAATTTTGGCTTTTAGATTTAGTTTTAACTACAATATTGAACGTTAGTCAAATATTTCCTAATTTTATTTTTTTCTTTGTTTTTGTCTCTCTCAGGTTCAGACTCTAGTGTATGCCAATTACACGGAGCCAAGGAGAACCACTTGCTCCGTACGATCCAGAGTTGAACAGAACTTTGCGAAGAATGAACAATCAAGGACTTCCAGTTCATCCTATCGGAGGAAATCTAGATGAAGCAGTTGAGTTACAGCAGCCAAGAGTAGTTGGTGGAGAAAACCGGGGTCTAGCTGAAAATCAATTGGGAGATGCACTGAGAGTGCATGGTCCACCAGGCCCGCAACACCATGAAAACTATCGGGGCAACGTCGACATAGCAGATTCCGATGGACCCATCGTCCTACCTCCTCTACCTCCGGGCATACATTTGTGGTGACTAGTAGTTTGATGCAGATGCTTACAGCAAGAGGCTTATTTTCAGGATCGCCATCGGAGGATCCACATGCTCACTTAGCCAAGCTCAGGGTGGTTTGCAAAAGTTGTGTAGGCAACCAGACTTGGATATGAACGTCATTGGGTTACGAGTGTTCCCTCTGTCACTGACAGGCGATGCTGCAGTATGGTTCACTGAGCTTCCTTATAACTCAATTTTCACATGGGACCAACTAGCAGAGGTATTTAAAGCAAAGTACTATCCAGTATCTAAGAAGCTCAATCACAAAGATCGGGTCAAAATTTTGTGGCATTACCTGGAGAGTCTGTGAGTAGCTCGTGGGACAGATTCACTGCCTTCGTAAGAAGTGTCCCAAATCACCGTATTGATGATGAGTCACTGAAGGAATATTTCTATCGAGGTCAGGATGATAACAATAAAGCAGTACTTGACACTATTGCTGGAGGTTCATATGGTGATTGTACATACGCACAGATTGCTGAAAAATGGAGAGGATCTCTCGCAATAATAAAGCGTGGAGCACTAGAAGGTCAGATACTGGGAGAAACACATTTGCTGTTCATAATGCTACTGTTAACTCTGCAGATGATATTCGTGAGGAGATGGCTCAGATGAGGACAGAGTTGGGGTTAGTATTGAAGCATGTGAGTGGAGGAGCAGAAAGGTAAATGCTGTAAATTACTTAA